TAAATTGTTGTTATCACTGTACGCACTTCCCTTGCCAAAGAAACTATCACTGATTAAATTGATTGTCAGAGAGTAGAATCAAGTAATGTGACAATAAGAACACAGTCTATAGTCTGTCCACACACAGGGGTAAAGTCAAGTGTTTCAGGAGTGGGAAGATGTAATATATCTTTAAGAAAACCAGTGTGATATGATTTTCCAGTAAGATGTTCACAATATTGATGATGTCACCCTGGACAGTGATGACATAAAAAGAGTCCTCACCTAACCTTCTACCATCAGACTTGTGCTTTATATTTCCTATCTCAAGGTTTTTTAGAAAGATGAAAGAACTGTTCTCTTTCTCTCTCTCCCTCCGTATATTTATTTTAGCTGGCAGAGCAACTAGAATTGAAATTCATGCCAATAAAATAATTTATGCTGTATTACATTATCCATTATTCATCATTATCCATAAATTGACAAGATGTCTATATAACCATATAGAACAAGGACAGCCTATTAATCTATAAATGTCTATATAACCATATAGAACAAGGACAGCCTATTAATCTATAAATGTCTATATAACCATATAGAACAAGGACAGCCTATTAATCTATAAAGGCTGACCAGGCTATAAACTGAACAGTAAATTAATGACAGCCCAACTTTACTGATATTTTTGATATTTAAATTGTTAAAACTCATGGAGAGTTCCAAATTCAAAGCAGGGCGCTACCATTATACCAAACAAGCAGAGACTTTTTCATCTTTCTAGAATTTTATTGAAGGATTATTATATTAAGTGTACAGTTTATAGCAAATCTTTTTTCTTTATCTGAGATGTTTTTTTTTTAAAAAAAATGTTAAGTTATTTGTTATTTAAATATATCATCAATTTTGACTGTAAACATTTTCAATAATTGGTATTAATCATCTATAAATTGTGTGATCATGAACAGAAAATGTAAAATAATTTGTTAATTGGATATACATTTTTGTATTATCAATTTTCTTTGTAAACATTTTCAACAATTGATATATTTAAAAATCCATTTGCACTATTGTTGATTAAAAAATATATTTCTAATATATGCTTTTTACATTTTTATGACTAATAAAGATTTTAAGAATTTAATATGAGATGTGGTATTGATGTCGCGAAGAATGACTCCGGAGTTAAACCATCCTTAATTACATTAGACCAACTTAACGGCAACCTAAGAGACCTTTTATTATGTGACCATTTAGTCATAATCATAGATATCGGGCGGATAAATACCTATAAACTTGTCAAAATGTTTAAAACAGTTACAAATTAACCACAAAAAATCCTTTATACTTGCTCATTTTGACTTCCGCCATTTGAAAAAACAAATCAGATAAACATCTCATTTTTAAAAAAAAACTCGAAACACACTTTTTTTGTTAATTACTAAGTGAAACAAAATACATGACCATTGTACACAAGTCAATTTCAATTTTGTACTTTTCACTATGAAAGTGAAGTCAAGTGGTTTTTAAACATGATAATTTATTTTTCCAGAGATAACCCTTATATTGGTTTCAATTAAATTTTCGCATATATAAACATAAAATTGTTGCATATAAGTACTAAATTCATGTACTATGGATTCTATAAATCTACCTATGGTAACTAACTATATATATACGTCTATGGACCTCTTGCTTACAAGTTTGAGACCTGGGCATGGCATCTACATGTGTATTTATCTAATTATGTTTAATGTCCTCCAACTTTATTTGAACATATTCTTGAGAAAGGTGGCAGATATTTGTGGAAACACAGATTTTAACTGAAACAGATTCCTGGATCACATGTTAAGTTTGTATAAGACTAAAAAACATGTACTATTTATCTGACCTTAAATCAAACAATATAAAATGAATCCACAATTTACTGGAAAATGATCACTTCAAACTTTCAAAAGAAAGAGATAATTATAAAATATAATAAGATCATTTAGTGAAAATTTAGTAATAATCAAATATAAGATATTTTGAGTATTTCATTTTTAAAAATTGTTTTCTTTAATTTTGTTTAGAACGTTTAACACCTTGTTGCGCCCTACACCTCACAGCTTTGTCATCGCGTCAGTCATACATCTGATAATGTTCAGTGTCATTTGGGTTAAACATTATTGTAAATGCAAGTCATTTTATTCATTCCATATAATGATTTTTTGGGTTATTAGTATTTCATTTAATTTATTGAATAAATGATGTTTCGGTTATTAGTGATACTCAAAGCCGTGAAGTCAACCATGTCTTGACGAAACGTTTAATGTTTTTATCGATAAATTTTTTCAAGTGGCAAAAGAATCATTAGCGTAGCATTTTCTTTTCTATTTGTAAAATTAACATGATTTACCTAACTCTTGCCGATTGAAGATATCAGACCTAACTACTTGGTGTGAAGAATTTTTGTCAAAATTGATATTTGTCACCGAAATTGTTTGCCGAGTGTAAAAATGATGTGAATTCTATCAACACCTGGTTTGTACGCTGTCTGATCACTGGCTCGGCAACTTTTTTTTCACGAAAAAATTACAATTAAAGATAAAATCTCAATTTGATTAAAGTGGCTAACCTCTGTCATTCCTTGTAATGTTTAGATATTTGCTATACAGAGTTTTACAAAAACAAAATTGAAGTGGAAATGAACAAACTTTTGACACACAAAACATTCTCTGTATTTGACTGATAACCATCTTAAACGTTCCCGTTTGTTTTGAAACAGTTTTTAAAAACAGTTACAATCAAGGAGTTCAAATTCATTGTTTTACTGGTCGTATTTCATCCTGCGTATTTGTGATATTTTACACTGAAAGGCGCAAGATAAACGTTAGCTAAAAAGAATAGCATTTGTGCGGATCATCAGCTACATTTAAGGGCGACAAATTATCTTAATAAAATCTAATTTATCTTTTCCGCAGTGTTTACATGAGTTACCGCTCTGACATTGTATTTGATTACAAATGATGTTCAATGATTAAACTGTGCTTTGATGACAATAACAGTTCTATACATTTGTTACAATGTACCTATGAAATACACAAAAACAAAGAAACGTTTGATGAAAAAATCATTCAAAATAATTAGGAGACAACATAACAGCCAATTATAACTTGTGTTCAGAGACTGTTGATAACATACATGTGAACTTTTTTTGATGATCATGTGGGAGATTTTTTCTTCAATAAGAGGGAGATTTTTCTTCAAAAACAGGGAGATTTTAGAATTTGCAATATACAAAGAAGAATGTTCTGGCACCAAAAAGAGGGAGATTTCTTTAATTTCTTAAAATACCCCTTATTTTAACAAAAATCTTTGAAATATGATGTCAGAGAGTGGGAGTCTCCCGCTACAAGTGGGAGAGTTCACATGTATGCTATTATTTTGTCATCTGACAGAAATATAAATTTTAATACATAAATTTGTTAAAAATATTCTTAAAAACTTCAGAATTAGGAATTACTGTAAATACCAATGATGATTTCCTGACTTATTTAATCCACTAGAATCTGAGATAATCTTTACATAAATCACAATGGTGTTTGGGGATATAAAGAAAACAAGATATTTATTGATCATCAGCAATGAAATACAAGTGGTAACATTGTAACAATTAAATAGTAAACATTTACCCACCACAGAAATCAGTGTGCAAACTCCCCGCATACCAGCGGCACCAAGTAACCTGGTCCCGGCTTACCAATCTTCTAAATGTCAAAGGTCGTCAGCCCCCTACAAGCAGAAGCACCCTATAATCTGCCATACTGACACAAAGAAATCAGAGTCAACAACTTGTCATAATGCTTAAACAGAGATGTTAAATTACCATTTACGGGATTACGTTTATCTTAAATAATGTAAACACGGGAAATACTCGGTCATTGTTTTAATGCTTTTATCTCAGTGTGAGAGTTATATACTAAAGATTCGAGCATCAATTTATAAATACGAGCTTTACCTCTTTTTGAAAAATGGCTTAAAATTAATACCAAATTACCACCACTTTTATTTAAACATCGCAAATGCTTATCTTGAATCCATAAAAAATATAGTATTTATTTCCTGTATTTTTTAATTTTTTCTCAAAAATTGCTAAGTCATGATATATTTTCACAGCAAGACGATATATCTATTATATCTATTTCCGTCTTACATCACAGACGAGCGCGGCAAAAGCTATCGGTTCCATGTTTTGCAGGGAGCACACAAATAGATATACTCGCATGTGGCTGATAGGGACGTCACATGAAAAATTCTCTCTATCTTCACAGAAAGGAAATGCCTGCAAATATTATCTTTCTCCAACCTACCATTTCAATCTCATAAAAAGAACTCTCTGTTAGCCCTTCTTTTTGCAAATTCAGAATTTAATGCTGCCTATCATTTATAAACTCACAGCCGATTGACTTATCATTGAAGAACACTGAAATTAGTTTAAAAAAAGAGATTTTAGTTAAAAACAAAACAACAACAAACTGTATATGAAATAGAATAATTAATAAAACTAGAACAAAAAGAAATAACTATTAGTAGGCAAGCAAAAATGATTATGCTTACAATTTTTCTGTGAAGTTGTTATGAATAATTAATATTTATTGGTATTGCAGTTAGTAAAGTACCAGTATTAGTCTGTAGGGAACACTTTAATGTAAGGACCAATAAGGTCATGTAATAATCTTTCGCATTTATTGTCACGCTACCATCAGAAAGAATTGTTTGACCCTATAAACTGATATAAGAATTCATCATCTCTTAGTTCAAATGACAAAAAATGCATCGCAAGTGATTTCGTAACAAATACATTTTGTATTAAAGCACCATCAAGAGAAATTTTATCATTCATAACAGTAGATAAAGAAATAAAAAATTAATTAATTGGTCAAGTAATCTAACATTTCTCTACTGTTAATGTGAATTAACAGTTAGACAGCAAAATTACCAAGATTCTAGACATCACCTTGTAAATTACTGATCTTCTTAATGTGTGCTGGTCAGGCAATAAAATGGGGTAACAAGTGTTTCTCTTTTGGCATAAATCACCAGACAGCTTCTGTTTATAGTTGTCTACTTACAGATACCAAAAACATTTCTATCATGCTGCCCCCATACATCAGCAGATCAAGAGAACCAGGGCTAGCCTTGTTTATACCTGTAATTAATTACCTGATGTGGTACCTGGTGGCAAGGTATGTTATGTTGGGGGATACATGTATCTTTGAACACACCAGAGTCATTGCTGGGTAAATATTTATGTTTGGTAAGTGATCACATTTCCCCGACCAGATCCATCAAATCATCCAACCTGAAATCAGAAACAAGGATTTTCATTAATGGATCTTCATAATCTAATGAAACTTTGATGAATAAATTAATTTAATTTCCCATCTTTACATGACACTCTGTTCAAAGTCTTCAGCCATGACAGTTGCCTTCTTGCTAAACAACTGCCATTTAAAACTGTAAGGTATATTGAAATTGCGCTATTTGTTATATCAATTTTGATTTTAAAGCATAGAAGAATAGAAGCATCATGCTAAAGGTCAAGCAGGTTCACAACAAAACTTTTACAATATCTTCATATCAAAAGATTTATAATACCTTTTCATTTATTTTTCTTAAAAAAAAATAATAGCCGTTTGACACTTATCAGTAGATTTAAATCAATTATTTCATTTTGAATAGCTGAATGTACTTTTAAGCTTTCAACACGGTACTAAAAGACACCAACTTAATTTAAACTGTGTTGTGTCAATATTTAACCTTAAAAGTTTATTTAAGAAAAAAAAGGAAGAAGAAAAAGATCATAATTATATTGGAATAGGGGTGCTGTAACCCTACTATTATTAAAATAAACACAAGATCACACTTTGTTAGAGTCGGATCTTTGATTTATACCTCCCGTAACCTCGGCAGATACATGGCACAAGCATTTTATTGTCACCATCACACCTCATTATTTATCATAATTACATACCTAACCATTACATATTTCTATAGAGTAAAAAAAGACTGGGACCCATCTCATTGTAACCGATATTTGCTGACAAATTTCCTGACAAAATTTCTTTTCAAAGTGACAGAATAAAAGGTCATTATACATTCGTTAACATCATTTTCTGCTTGTAATGCTTTACCCCTAGTAAAAAATTTAATGCTAACATTATTTTATTGAATTCAATACAGTATTAACACTTGTTATCTAAACAATCTTAAGATAAAAACCAAGACCTATTAAAAAATTGTGTCAGTGGAAACTTTTTTGTAATATATGCCCTAATTTGAGTCTAAATTGCATGATCATAGCAATTCCATATTATAATGTTATTCGTAGCTTCTTCAAAGAAGTTGTTTAGTAGAAGTTGAGATATTATTTTAGTCACTGGTTCAGTTCATTATTCTACTGTGCAAGCATACAATCTTTGCGTTCTTTTCCAGTTGCCCAGAAACTCTTCTTTCTTTTCTCTCATTAATTACAGGTAAAATCATAATAAAACATTAATTGATAATAGTGGAGGATATGATTATAACTGGAGAAAGGCGATCTCAGTCTGCTATAAATGAACTAGTAACTTCAAACTCAGGCCGACTTCAAACTTGCGACTTCAAACTCGTGATGTTTTAAGAATACAAGAGCGATCAGTAATCACATGTGTCGCCTCATAATGGCCAATTTCATGTTGGGACAAATTTTGTGACAGACGGACAGACAGACTGACAGTGCACAAATAGACTTGGTACTGATCAATCATGTAAAGTTTGGATAAAATTGCACCAGTAGCTTATGAGGAGTAGTCCGGACAAGCTTTTGCGTATCTGGCAGCACACAGAAAAAAAACACCTTTTTATCAAAGGGCCATAACTCAGCCAAAAATCATTCAACCGGAAAACCCGTGCATTATGCGCAAGGACTTGAGCTACAGATCAATCCTGTAAAGTTTCATTGAAATTGCATAAGTGGTATAAGAGAACTTGTGCGGACAAACTTTAAAAATAAAAATTATTAAAGGGCCATAACTCTGACAAAAATCATTGAACCGGAAAATGCTGACAATATGCACAACTACACTTGATACTGATCATTCCTGTAAAGTTTGGATAAAATTGCACCAGTAGTTTATGAGGAGTAGTCCGGACAAGCTTTTGTGTATCTGGCAACACAGAGAAAAAAACACCTTTTTTATCAAAGGGCCATAACTCGGCCAAAAATCATTCAACCGGAAAACCCTTGCAATATGCGCAAGGACTTGAGCTACAGATCAATCCTGTAAAGTTTCATTGAAATTGCATAAGTGGTATAAGAGAAGTAGTCCGGACAAACTTTAAAATTAAAAATTATTAAAGGGCCATAACTCTGATAAAAATCATTGAACCGGAAAATGCTGACAATATGCACAACTAGACTTGATACTGATCATTCCTGTAAAGTTTGGATGAAATTGCACCAGTAGTTTATGAGGGGTAGTCCGGACAAGTTTTGTGACGGACGGACGGACAGACAGACAGATGGACAGACGGACAGACAGACAGACAGACGGACAGATGGACAGACGGACAGACAGACGACGGAGAAGTGATCCCTACATGTCGCCACTACTCCGTAGAGGCGACACAACAAGTCTAACATACTCCATGAAGAATAATTAAACTAAAGTCGACAAAATAATGCCAGCACATGTGAATTTTATGATTTTCAGAGCAAAGAAAATGCTGAAAATGTGCATATTTAAATTTTCTGCCATTTCGTGATAGATTTATTGTAAAGGCACAGATGTTCTACCTGGTGCCACATTGGTAATCGCAACAACAATTTTGTCCCCACAAAATTAACACAATGTTTCTGTACAAGACTATGAGAGAAATGCTGCAGTTCAGTAAACATGTAATATACAAGAAATAAAAAAGATAATTACTTCTATCAATTTTATGGTGAATTTTCTGGCACAATATGTTCAATTACAGTTTATGGGAATTTGGTATAAACAGTCTAAAACATGTGCATATGAAGAATGTACATACTGTATAGACTTAAAATCATGCTATTACTTACTAGTGTTTCCAACTTGATTATGTTTGTGATAAAAATGATGGATGTTTGATATATAAAGTGTGACTGTATGTAATATAGTGTAATGAACATTGCATTAACAGGCAATATGGCATGTAGCACACATTTCATATAACTACATCATATGCCCAAGTATGAAGACAATTAGGATCTTTTCTATGAAAGGTCAGGCCAACTGCAACTTGTAAAATAACATAGAAAATATTGTTAGTTATTCCATTTTTTTTGCCAGCCCGCAAAGCTCAATCTGTTAGAGAACGAGACTTGTAATCTTGACATTGTGGGTTCGATTCCCGAGCTGGCCGACTAAAATTACCAATCAGTCTTTCGGATGAGACTAATTAAATGGAAGTCCTGTGTATGAGTGCTTAAACATTATTTTTCATCAAGCCTTCGGCTTCACATGTACAAAATAGCATTTCATTTTGAATTTATGGTTTAAGTCGCGTATTCAAAGGTTTAAATTTCCCGCTATATCACGGACATGCGCGTGACTACCGGAAGTAATAACCGGAAGCATGAAACACATGTTTTCACTTTTTGTTTTGGCGTTGTGGTTGTCGCGTGTTTTTGAAAGTTTTAGTTATTTTAAAAGTTATTTTGCGTTTAACCGCATTATTATGGCCCAAGAGGCTCTTCTCGATAGGATAGACCTTCATGCTTCGGGTGAGGAGGGAGATTTTTCTGGGTTTTCGGACCAAGAAATTACCGGTAAGAAAGAGAAAAAGTCTTCGGACAAAAAACGGTTAAAATCCGTCGTGGTGGAGAAAGAAAATAAACCCCCTCGTGGTAAAGGCAAAAAACAGTCAGGTAAAACTTTGAATACTAATTCTTCGGAAATATCGGACAGAAATTTATCCTCGGATAAATTTGATTTGAAAAACTTATCTAATAAGGATATTGAAGGTCTTAGGACTCTTCTTGGTATACAGCCTGTTGTTCAACAGAATCCTCAGTTTCTCCCTGATTGTGATAACTATGACTATAATGAGGATAATTATGATTATATGGATGATGAATCTGTGAATGATAACTATTCTGCTGTTCCTGCAGCATTAAAACCTAACCTTAGGGTGGAGGTTGCTGCCCAAGATGTTGATATTGAAGATACAGGGATTCGTAATCTGTCAAAAGATTTTTCTTCGGCTTTTGACGATGGTTGTACTGATAATAGACTTGAGTCGGATAGTGATACATGGGATCTTCCCAAATTAAAGATACCAGAGAAAGGTGAGCCAGTGAATGAGTCCTTGGCCAATTTAATTAACACGGCATTTACTGCCCAGTGTGACTTAGACTCTATTTTGAATAAGTACCAAGTACCTAAGAATTGTGACAGGGCCATTCCGCCCATTGTTAACCAGGAAATATGGAAAACATTAGACAAAAGAGCCCATTTTCAAGATAAGTTTATGGTGGACATACAAAATCTTGTGGTTTCGGGCCTAGGTCCAGTTGTTAAGTTGCTTGAGTTTGTGAAAAAGAACAATCTTATGAAAAATGAGGCAAAATGTATCTTCTCTGACCTGTTTACTGTTCTGGGTCAGGTGCAATACAACCTCAGTTTGAGGAGGAGATATCTTATAAGACCGTATTTGAAGAAGAAGTATTCTTCATTGTGTAGTATTTCGATGCCTATAACAACCAAACTTTTTGGTGATGATGTTTCAAAAGAAGTCAAAAGTTGTGATGCTTTATCGTACATTGGTAAGGATTATACTTACAGCAATTATAGAGGTGTCCAGCGTAGACGCTCTGGTCGAGGATTTGTTAACTCAAATTTTAGTAATTACGGCTACCAGTCATCTACATACAATCAGCGTTCTGGTTTTAGGACTAGACCGTATCCGTTACGTGGACAATCTTTCAAGATTGGTCTAGGCGGACGAGGAAGAGGTATGAGAAGAGGTGCCTTGGCTTCTGCTACAGCCAGTGCCCCAAACGATCAGGAATAAATGAAAGGGTAAGTCAAGTTGGACGTACACAGTATTTTTTAAGTGTATGGAAAAAATTTACTTCAGATCCTTGGATCTTGAATGCAGTTTCGGGGTATAAGATAGATTTTAATGAAAATCCTTTTCAAAGAAGCATTCCTAATGAAATTCCTTTTTGTTCAGATCAAAAAGCAATTGTTCATAATGAAGTTCAAGATTTGTTGAAAAAAGGAGCAATTATTAAATCAGAATCAGAGATTGATCAATTTATTTCAACAATATTTATTGTTCCTAAACCTAATAATAAATTTCGACCAGTTATAAACTTGAGATTTTTAAATGAGTTCGTACAATATAGTCATTTTAAACAGGAAACATTTTCTATTGTTTTGGATTTGATTAAACAAAATGACTTTATGACAAAAGTTGATTTATCTGATGCATATTTCTCTATTCCTATACATCCTTCACACTGGAAATATTTGAAGTTTTCATTCAATTCTATTTTATACTCATTTGTATGTTTACCATTTGGTTTGAAAATAGCCCCATATTTGTTTACTAAAGTATTACGTCCCATTTTTGCTTGGTTTAGACAGCAAGATATACGCTGTTCTTATTATATTGATGATTCTATTAATTTCAATGAGTTGTCACATGTGTGTTTGAATAATACGGTTACTATTACAAAGACATTACAGAGTTTAGGATTTACTATAAATGAGAAAAAGTCTGTACTAATCCCTTGTCAGAGAATTATTTTCTTTGGTCATATTATTGATACAGTTCAGTTCAAGGTATTTTTGACTGATGAAAAAGTGCAGAAAATTATGTCGAAAGCATCCTATTTATTGCAACATGAGGTTGTTTTGGTCAGACAGTTGGCATCTTTTATAGGTGTGATAGTTAGTTCTTTTTATGCAATTTTAGAAGGGCCACTACATTATAGAGCCCTTGAAAGAGAAAAGTTGATAGGTTTAGGTCAAAATATGAATTTTGACAATAAAGTTAGTTTATCTACGAAAAGTATCCATGAAATTCAATGGTGGTTAAAAAACGTGAAGAATAAAAATGGTAAAAGAATCAGGCCTATTTCTGTATCCAGAAGGTGTTTTACAGATGCGTCGATGGAAGGTTATGGTGGAATAGACCTGATTTCTGGCTTGCACACACAAGGCAGATGGAAAAATCAGGAATGTGGTTATCATATTAATTATTTGGAACTCCTTGCAGTTTTTTACTGCATGCAAGCATTTTACAATGAATTTTGTGATATTCATATTGAGATTCATTCAGATTCTGTTTCAGTGGTAACTTACATAAATAATTTTGGTGGTATGAATTCTTTGGAATTAGATGACCTTTCAAAATGTTTATGGGAATGGTGTTTAAGTAGAAATATATATATTTCTGCTGTACATGTCCCTGGTAAATTAAATAAAAGTGCTGATTATTATTCTAGAAATTTTTCAGATTCCACTGAATGGACATTGAAAAAAGATATTTTTGAAAGATTATGTAGACACACATTTATGCCTAACATAGACCTTTTTGCTTCTAGACTTAATAATCACTTACCTAAATTTGTTTCATGGTTTCCCGAACCAGGGGCTTACGCAGTTAATGCTTTTTCATTATCATGGAAGGATATGATACCATACATTTTTCCTCCATTTAATTTAATTGGGAAAGTACTAAATAAAATTGTTATTGATGAGGTTGATAGAGCTCTAATGGTTGTTCCTTTTTGGTTCACACAACCTTGGTTCCCTATTCTACTTGAAAACCTTTGTGATTTTCCTATCAGGTTACCCAGACACAGAGATCTTCTAGTGTTGCCGCACAATGGAACATTACACCCATTAGGAAGAAAATTAAAAATGATTGGAGTGGTGTTATCAGGGAAAGCCTGCAGAGTAAGGGAATTTCATCAATTGTTGCAGATTTCATCGCAGAATCTTGGTCACAGGGCACAAGAAAACAGTATAGCAGTGCCTGGAAAAGATGGTATATGTGGAATTCTATTAGATGTTCCAGTCCAATTTGTTCGTCTGAAGGTGTAGTCGTGAGTTACCTGTATTTTTTATTTCAATCTGGTATGTCTTATTCCGTTATAAATCTTCATAAAGCGATGTTAATGCAAACATTGTCCTTATTGGGAAATACATGGTGCAGTGACAACAAAATGATTGTAAGATTCATGAGAAGTGTATTTTTACATAAACCGGCTAAACCGCGTTATATAATGATTTGGGATGTTTCTGTTGTTTTGTGTTATTTACAAAAGTTAATGCCATTATCTAGGTTATCTTTGAAATTATTAACTTTTAAAACCTTAGCCTTGATTGCTCTTGCAACTGCACCAAGAGCTCAGACTTTGTGTTCTTTAACTTTAGACAATATGTTTATTCAACAACAGGCAGTTGTTTTCACATTCACGGATATTTTGAAGACATCCAAGACAGGTCAATATTACTCTATAAGGATAGAGCATTATCTGGAAGAAAATATATGTCCAATGCATACTCTACTTTATTATGTTAAAAAGACTGCTGATATTAGAAAAAGTAAAAAGGTGTTTGTTTCATATGTTACCTTTAATGCTGTTTCTTCGAGCACTTTGGCAAGATGGTTAAAAAATGTGTTAAGTTTAGCAGGGATTGATATAACTAAATATAAGGCACATTCTTATAGAGGAGCATCAGCTTCGGCTGCCTATAATAAAGGATGTTCAATAAGGGAGATTTTAAAAACTGCTGATTGGAAATCATCTAAAAATTTTCATAAGTTTTATTGTAGAAACTTAGAATCTGGTATTTCTTATAATGATGCTGTTTTTGGAACATAGAATATTTTTTGGGGTATTAAACTTGGAAAATATTTGTTTTTTGTTGCCTTTAAAGATGCTATTTTGTACATGTGAAGCCGAAGGCTTGATGAAAAATAATGGACCCCCATCCAAGCTTTAGTGCAGGATGGAGGGCATTATTTGAATAAAGCCGGAGGCTGAGCATGTACAAACCCTCCCTTGTGTATAGTATCATAGTATGTGATTAATGTCTTATTATATAATATAGAGAGGTTTTAACCCTCCCTTAGTTGCTTTATTGCAACAAAAAACACTCTTTAAATGAGTGAAAACATGTGTTTCATGCTTCCGGTTATTACTTCCGGTAGTCACGCGCATGTCCGTGATATAGCGGGAAATTTAAACCTTTGAATACGCGACTTAAACCATAAATTCAAAATGAAATGCTATTTTGTACATGCTCAGCCTCCGGCTTTATTCAAATAATGCCCTCCATCCTGCACTAAAGCTTGGATGGGGGTCCATTTTACATGTTAAAGAACCAGGGGAAGCTTCTGGATTTGGGGCATCTTTTTGAATTTGTATCTTGCAATACCCTCAAAAAAATATATAAGACTAATATTCTTCTGGAGGTACGCCCATATGGGCAACCGGTGGCGAGTATAAATAAGCTCAAATACACACAATTATTCCATTTACCCTATATGGTTTGCTGGCCGTTACAGAATCTACCCCTGCGAACAGTGCAGACCAAGATCAGGCAGCTCCATGTGTCATCTTATCATGGTCTGCACTGTTTCATATTCAGTTTAGTACATTATATTGAAATTTTCCCTAAAACTAATGAATGGTTTTGCCCGCAATGAAATATGAAATGAAATATGGACAAGTCCATTTCAGATATTTAGCAGGGGAAAAAGGGGTTAATAAATTCACTGGTTATCACAAAACACAAGAAAAAACATAAACAGCAGGAGTTGAATTCCTCACAGATTAGTTCTGGGGATTAACAGAATCATTCTTAAATGATGTTATTATCAAACAAAAGAATATTATAAAAGATGTTGTATTTTGTTCACCAAGCATGTGCTGAGATATTGGCAGACATAAAATGCTTTCAATTCACCCTAGAGCAAAAATTTCAGCAAATTAAGCCGAAATAAATGAATCCATTTCCCTCATAACGTAATGAAAAGTGTAGGATCTTGTCTCAGGTTCATACAACATAAAAATTCATCAAATAAGTTAAGGGCTTAGCGAAAAGTCCTTGCAGATGGGATCCTGTCTTGGTATCACAGAGTTTTGTAAATCCGAGAAAATCCCCTGAATTTCGAATGAAGTGTGAGGAAAATATTCAAACAACTTCGGCACAAATTTCCAGCAGCATGTGTCATTAATTATTGTTCCGAATGTTTTATAACATAGCTGAAAGAGGTACATGAAACTTTGAAACAAAACTTTAATATTTTAAGTGAAAAGTGGCAGTTTACAGGCCTTTTTAACTGCAATAAACAACATTTATGGATACTCAATGTAGGAGGCATGCTTCAAATTAACAAGATTGTTAAAGTTATTGCTGTAGTCAACACCAGTCTCAAAAACACTTCACATATTTTTACTTGATTGTATACTGGGGGATGTTTAATTTATTCTCATAGTTTTTATAGTTCTCTGAACACTGTGGTAAGGAAAATAATGATTGGAACAATATCCAAATTTTGTAATTATCCAAATTATGTAATATCCAAGTTTTGTATTATCCAAATTTTGAATTATTTAAATTTTGTATCATCTAAAGACAAACAGAACAAAATTAATTTCAAATTTGAACACTTAATTCAATTTTTAGACAATACTGAATAAAACATTTTTCTAAATACATCAATTAGTATATTGATAACCAGTGTCTCTCCATTTCTAATATATAGTTTACTCGCCATTTGTAAGAACTAAAAAAAAATTTTCCCCAATGATTACATAGATTAATGAACTAAATCAGCCACAAATTCAAAATTGAAATTCAAAGACAGTATTCTCTTCAACAAAGTACCAGATAATTAAATTTTTCTTAAAATGAGCTGGAATACATGTCATGATAAGTCAAATAATAAATGTAACAGATCTATCCAGCTTGTAAACTAGACTTGTGTATATATATTATAATAACTCTTTGATTAAATCATTCAAATATCATTAATTTTGTTGATATAGAAAGCTTAGTTTTAAGCCAGGAGATATAAAATTCATGTTAATCATTTTCATGATGAATTATTATTAATCCTTCAAAAAACCAAACAGCCCCACCCTTTCAGTCTTCTATAATTATATATGTTCTTTTTTTCTAAATTTAATTTGGTTCAAGATTACAAAGATCATGTATTCCATGTATCAAACTATTTATACAGAGAAGTTAGTGGTTGTGTATCTAGCATGTAAGATGTTAAGGAGGTTTTTAAGAGAAATTGCCTATAATTATGTCTATAAGAAAACTCCCAGCATTGAATGTTGTGGGTTTGAATCCCATTTTAACTTTATGAACTCTTTCATGTGAGAAAGCTATCCATCAAGCTTGTGGACAGTTCCTAGTCCATGTGGACTCATGACCTAGTGGCTATTGATGTTGGCATGCCGTCTAGTTGGCTTTTGTCCTAGTGGACCTCTTTCTTAGTGATTTATGTCCTAAGTGGGCTACTGTGGTGTGTCAAAGAGGACTTCTGTCCAAGTGGAACATCATATATAATAATGTCTCTATGACAATCTTTTGGACCTCTTAATAATTACTAAAATGAATGATGGAATGTTAAGAAAACAAAGTAACTTGAATACAAAAAATTGAACAATAAATATATTATGGAAAGTTCTCAAAAGTCACAATGTGCTGGCGAAAAATGATTTCCAATACAAATTGTTACTATAATATGTTACCTTTGTTCTTTTTATGCCATGATGGTTTAAAAGAAAGAACATTTAGTGAAGGAAGATGTTATTACAGGCTGATGTTTGGCAGACATTTGTTTTTTCATCGTATTTTGAAAAGAACAGCTGTCAAATAATGACATGTTATTCGACTCCTTCATTTATTTTTACTAGAAAATCTATCACCTATTTCTATCTTCTATATATAATGATAACCGATTTGTTTAACTGATGTAACACTCTCCGATAACCCAAATATACTTAACCTGTGTTTATATAATGGTTTATTACATTATAATTTTATTATCGTTACTGGTGTGACCAATCCATTTAAAAACTGCTACTTCAATTCTTTATAACTCTCAATGATACGCAAATATTTTCAAATTTACACAAGTTGGTTAAAATAACTGCACAAACAGATTAAGTAGTCTTATTGTGATCTGCATATATGTACACATTTTTATTTAACCGACAAAACAAACAACATTAACCGTTTCACAGTCACAGGCGTTCATCAGTGCTATACAGTTGTACCCATTTCTCACTTTTAAACCAACAGTAACACCTATATTTAGATCTAGGTCTTGGTTTTGTCAAAGATTGGTCATTTTCCTATAAAACAATTAAATTATCTCCCTTTCAGTACCCTTTTTATCTCCCTTTACCATACATATTTAACAATAAGTCAAAGAAAAGGTGATAAAAGCATGTCTATAGGATCAATTACACCATACTTGTTGTTCTTTGTTACCATTTCTTTCAACAATCAATGATAATGGCAATTTGTAGCCAAGTGTGAACAGCCACAAGGACATTTTTCCTTCACCTTTTCTGCCAATAATTTGTAAGGCATGCAGTTTTCACAAGCACATAGGTAACAAATATGTACAAAGTGCCAGAATGTCTTCTGATTCTTTGATGTAAACAACAGTTTTCTTGGTGATAATTCTTTTTTTACTTCATTGTGAACAACACTATCTTAGTTACACATGTGTTAACAAAAGAATTCCAACAGCATTATACCTGACTATGAACCATGATGAAGTTGGGTATTTGAGACAAAGTAAAAAATGTATTTTAATGTTTGTTGCCTTTTTGTCAGTGATGTTACAATGTTTAACACATGTTTCAGTGAAAACTTACACCAATTTTGTGAGAAGCAGCCATTATTAATGATACATAAATGCTCAGCCTGTCATCACAGTCATTTTCACTCTAACTTTGATAAAGGAAAAATCACCCTACAACTTTAACATTACAAGCCCTTGCCTGTTTCTAATGAACATTTTCCCCCACCAATCCGTCAACAATTCTTCTAGGAAAATTCCCCTGTGAAAATTATGGCAATATTTTTTTTTTACTTTTCTCATAATTACAAAATTATATGTAATTACATCTTATTATCTATTATTATATCTTTATACCCACTGCATATATTATGATGTTTCTAAAACCAGTCTGGTTGTTATAGCCTGATCATAGAGCCTAATTATAACATGCTCTTTGAAAAATAAAGGGAAATAATTAATACTCAGTATTTTTCAAACAGAAATCTCCTGTTTCTCACAGTTTTGAAATTTCTAACAACAATTCAAATAAATATTTTCCAGAGGGGCTTTTATTTTGTATTTTAGTGTCATGGACAAATATTTGACTGATTTATGCAAAGTTTGCCATGAAAATGCGAAAACATCATTATTGTTGTGCCTTTTCCAAATTTTTTAGGGGAAACAAAACTACTCCAAAAATGTGCCAAATAAAATGCCTCTTATTTGTTATGCCTTTGCATTTTTGCATATTTACTTTTGTTACATGTGGAAAAAGCAAAAAATGTTACAATGCGAAAAAGGGGAAACTCTGCTTATTCATTGTGAAAAAGCAAAGACCCAACTGATGTAATGCAAAAATCAGACACCTTTTATGTTTTGTATTTTTCCCTAATTTGTTATCCATTCCTTTTTTCAAATGAAGAATGCAAAAATGCCTATATATACATAGATACATGATAATGTGAAATAACCATATTATACATAATATTTTGGTTTATGTTATGTTATCTGTATTTTGGTTAATGTCATGTTATATGTATTTTGGTTAATGTCATGTTATATGTATTTTGGTTAATGTCATGTTATAT